GAGGGCAGGTAGGCGGGTCGGCGGGCACGAAAAGTAGGGCCCCGCGGCTTCGAAGGAACGTTTTTCTCTAAATTACAGTCCCGACCGCTTGCGTTCGTTCTGTTCCGTCGTACCTTTCCCGTGAGCGAGCCACTACTACCACTACACCAACTTAGCTACTACCTGAATTCACTATCTCGTTCTCCCCCTAATTCTCATTCTCATTCTCATTCTTATTCTTATTCTCGGTGAGAAGGGCTGATTCGATCACGGCGAAATAAACAACGAAATATCCTCATTCGATTTTCGCTATTTTCTTTCCTTGTTTTATTTCTACATCTCCTTATTATTTTTCAATGAATTTAAATTGATGCCATCTGAAATTTTCATTCGAATAGAATTCTGACAGTCAACATCATTGGCTTCCGGGATCTATGAGATATATGGGATAAGAGATGAAACAATTTGTCGAGCCACTTAGAAGATGGATAGCCTGTCGGTGGATAAGATAGAGAGAGATAGAGAAAGAAAGATTGAGAGAGAGAGAGATGTTGCTGCCTTGGTTATCGATCGTTCGTTCAACGACGATATAAGAAGTGACATTAATGTATGTTTCGTTGTCGCGTAGGAAAGATTGAACGTTTGAATTCGTTCCTAAAGGTGTCGACTACGACAACGAGTACGACAATGATGCAGATGATAATAATGATAATGATGATGATGATGATGATGATGATGATAATGATGGTACGAGGAAAAGGAAATAGCAACGTTTTCTTTTCCTTCTTATTCTTTTTCTTTGTCTTCTCAAAAACTTAAGAATGTCTCTAAGGTTCAAGATTTCCATGAAAATACGTCAAGATCTTTTGCCTGAGGATACTATAAGGATTTATTACCCTACGCGTGCCTTATACATTCATCAAATAAAAAGTTAATCCGCATACGTAGCACGTTGTGACGAGTCGTAAGACGTTTGCTACTCTGATACCTACACGTATGTACTACCTACCTAAGAGAACATCGTACTTGCACGTCGTAAACGCGTTTTAGAAGAAGAAGAAGAAATCCGAACTGGCTGCCCAGTCAGCCTCATCGCGAAGAGAAACGGTACAGGAACGAAGGATCGAGAAAGAAAGAGAAAGAGAGAGAGAGAGAGAGAGGAAGAAGAAGAAAAAGACGTTTTTGTTCACACATAGAGTTAGTCTCGTGTTGGGTTGAGAGAAGCAGGTGAACGAGCATCGCAATCCGCTTTTCACGGTCAAGCAAATATCGGCCGTGTCGTGTTATAGCTACCGTAGGCCCCGCAGTAGAAGAATTTTCACGGGATGCCAGGATGTTTATTGGACGAGATAGGTAAACCGGATCGCTCGAACCCAAGCCGAAGAAGCCCCATCTTCGAGGAATGAAAATAGAGAAAGTACTCTCGACGCCCGGGGTCCGTTGGAATTGACTCCAAGCTAACGTGCAAAATTTCTAGACTGTTATATGTTTATTTCTTTACTCTTTCGGTCTCTCTCTATTTTTGTTTCTTTTATAGAGATCTAAGAAAATACGATTACCGATAGTTTCATCTGACTTTTTCGTAACTTCCATTCTTGTGTGTCAGTATACCTTTTACTGGACCACACCTGGATGTACTTTTATTCTTCCCTTCTCTTTTATCTCTCTCTCTCTTTCTCTTTTGATTGGCTCGTCGTTACGATTCGAGTTCAACAATCCCAGCAACACCGATTAAGAGATATCATGCTTTTTATACGATGAACCGGCTTGGTGTAAATGTCTCTTTCTCTTTCTCTTTTCTCTTTCTCTTTTCTTGAGATAGTCGAGTCGTAATTACCACGAGTGTCTTCATCGTAAGAAAAGAGACATAACTTTGATCGTGTTTACCAGAGTCGCGTAAAGACTGGTCACAGTGGTACGTGATATAATTAATAATTGATCGGACAATGGTCTCGACATTGGAATGTTTTTTTGTTTCTTTTTTCTTCTTCATTCTTTTGCTTTTTCTTACTCGTAAGAGACACATGTAAATACCGTACGTGATAAGAATTACAATACACGTCTCTTCGTCGAAGTCTACTCAAAATCTTCTTAAGTTGCTACTAAAATCATTGGTAAATATGTTTAAGAGAGAATAACTGAAACTTTAAAAAAAAATAGTTTCAAATATTAATTTATCTTTTTAGTCGCGTCTATACGCAAAATAAGAAAAACAAAGCTCAAATTGGTTAACAATATATGCATTGTTTTTTTTTTTTAAGTAATATAAATTCAATTTTAAACACAGAATAAATTATGACTAGTTTCAATGAAACATGGATGACTAATTTGTTTTTAACATTTTATAGTTATTATAAAAAACATTAATGAATATTTGTTTTAAAAATGATGAATCCATTTGCAGCCTAAAAAACCGTATTTTTGTTTAATTATTGTATTAATTATTATCGAATCCTATACAATTTATTATCTTTATATTTTAAAAAATGATCCCCCGTACACTCATTAACAAATATTAATATTTTTAAACCAATTCAAACGTAAACCATTGAATATCTTAAAATAAGATCTAAATGAACTTAAACTACTTTCCCAAAAAATAACTTATATATTATAATTTATTGATTCTCTTATCGGTTTTGATTTACATAATAAAACTCAAATACTTATATATAACAAAAAATATAAAAACTAATCGACTCTGAATGAATCTTAGAAAACTAATAGTGTTATTTTGAAATTTAATCTCTTCCTCAACGATAGTAAGAAATTTTCCACGCAGACACACAAGAGTCGAACCTCTCTCTTTCTCTATATCTTTCGTAGGCGTATATAATCAAGATCGAAATGCGCACGAGCGTTACTTGCAGGAAAGACGAGAAATCATGAAGCGACAGGTAGGTCGATAGGAAACTGGAAGTTCGTAGATGCTCGCGAGATGTTCGATCGTCCGAAGTATGTTGCCCTGTGCTGACGCGAGCCATTCGACGGATGTATTCGAGCCTCATGGAACATGAGTAAGTAAGTTAGAGCGAGAAAACGACAAAATGAAAGAGAGAGAAAGAAAGAAAGAGAGAATGAGAAGATGGTGAATAAGGGAGTAGGGGGGTGGGAGAGAGGGAGGGGAAGGGTAAACCATCCGGTCAGCCCACGAAGAGAAGCTGGAGTCTACAATCTGCATAATTTTCTTCTGGATTTCCTTCTCGTTCCTTCTTTACATGCACGCATTTTGCGGAACTTGGATCGCATTAACGAGTTCCTTTTATGTATATATAGGTATATACATAAGAGGAGAGCTAATCGAAATAAGGAATGATTGCGGAATGTTAACAAAGTCAAAGGAATTCGATCAATTAATCTTCGATAATGAATTATTTTCTCGCCGGCCGGTGTTTTAACGATTAGCCAGCGATCATTGAGGTTAAACCTAGAAGAATGATAAAGTTAGATAGATAGATAGATAGTGATATGAAAAAAGATTGATGGAAAAAGTTGGTCAAGATTGAGGTTGATTCGTGGTCGGTTAACCGATTTCGAATTTCTAATGAACGGATGATATTGAATTTTAATGGGGATTGCCATAATTACATGTTATAAGCGTTCGACGTAGATCGGTAAGAGATATTCAGATCTAGTGTCGAAGATAACAGGATACGAGTTGCGCTTTAAAGGGGTTTTGTGCGACGATTTGACACGGAAGTACGTTATAAATTGATGGCATCGATCATTGGCTAATGCAACGCCTGTCCTGAATACGCTTGAGAGAACTCCACTAGTATGCGAATAGATTCAAACTTTTTTCTCCGATCTCAGTCATTGTTCCGTTATCGTGGCTACTCACGCTTCTCAAACATCGATTATATCGTTTAACGCGAACTTGATTAATTTTATTCTTATTCTGTTTAATCTTTGCGTGGTTAGATTTTAAAATGGTTTTACAAAATATGAGAAAAAAATGTAATTTTTTCAATTTATTATCAGGGCCGAGTGAAACCAAAAAATGGCTAAAACCAATAATCGATATATAAATATTTCTTATTTGTTAACGTGCGAAATTAATATTACAATAAATGTACAAAAGCATATTTATAAATAAAAGTATTACCTTTCAATGATGATTTTAAATCTGCACGAAAACTTTTCAGACAAACCCACTACTCCTGCTACTAACACTTCGACACTCTGGTTCTCTGAATAGTATTACCTTTCTTTTATGATGTTGGCGCCCCGAAACTATTGCGCCTCTAGGCCAATACCTTTTGTGCCTTAGCCTAAAGCCAGCCTTGATTATAGCGTATTTTAATGTTCGATTCATAAATGTGCAAAAACCTCGAGAATATCCAGTCGAAAATTTTTGTCTGAAACGATTAAGATCCCGAAACTATATCTCGAAATAATAAAAATACAATATTGGAATACCTGAGAATTTCAATTAAAATTTCAAATTATTTTTCATAAAATAATTATAACTTATCACATTTATCTGAGACATTATTATATATATTTCTCAACGACATAGTTTTGATAATCGAATTATTTTTATACTGCGAGATTCGACAATATTTTAAAAATAAAAATCCGAAATTATAGTTGTATTCAATAAAGCTAATACCAAGATGTGTCGTTAAGGTTCTCGAAATTCTCGAATCGTGAAATACTTCCTGAACCTAACTCGAGCCAACCCGTTTCGAATATCGGGTTCCTCACATTTTCGGGTTCTTGCACAACTCTGGACAACTTCGATGTATAAAATACGACAAATTGATTTGTAAAAAGATGACATGTTTATTAAAAGATAATATATTTTATAAATTAATTAGTTTTGATCACTTAAAAAAAAAACAAAAAACAAAAATAACGATCAATGAATAATATACACGATAATCAATTTTGATGGATATACATTTCGGTTCACATAAATTTCTCGTTTCTTAGAAATTGAATTTCAAATTAGTTCTTAACTTTCATCGATCATTATCTACTTTGAACTTCGTCTTAATGGGGGAAAAAAAAAAAAAAGAAAATGAATGAAGTTCATCGAAAAAGTAGAAAGACAAGTATATACTACCAGGAATATATTCGAAGTGAACGTTGAATCAAACGGAACACTCCCTCGAGCCTAACGCATAACAAATATTTAAAGAAGATCCTCGAGTGCAGTTTCCACGAACAACGAGCCTACCGAATATTGAAGAAGAAGTTGAGTTATTGGGTTTTCTCCTTCTCCGTCTTTATGTTTCTCTCTCGCTTTCTCTCCCTCTCTCATTCTGCATCGCATACACCCAACCAAGGGAAGTCGTAATAAGTTGCCGTGGGAAATAAAAGAAGATGTCGCCTCGTCGTGTGGTTTTACTAGATATGAAGCGTAGGAAAACATGGAAAAAAAAAACGAAACGTCAGTTTAGGTATTACGACTTTTTCATACTTCAATGCATTCTTTTTTTTATAGATTAACATGTGACAGATAAATGAATATATGTAGGTAATATATTAAAACATCGTTTTCTAACCAGTTTCTACAACGTATACATCTTTTGGGAACAACCAATACTTATATTTGTTAATCAAGATATTAGCCTAATGAATATTCATCAAGATTTTCAACTGAACAATATGTATAATTGTAATTTGAAATATTTTGACAAATCTGAAACAACTAATTCTACGTAATTGAAACTATGATCATGTTTACCTGTTACTTATCCTGAAATATTACCAAAAAATATTAATTACCAAACACTAAAAAGGTTTTTTAATAGTATTTTTTTTCATGTCAATAATAATGATAATATGCTACCTGTTTCCACTGTTCGTAACCAATAAATCGAGAAAGTAACGTGATCCTAACCGTCGAAGCTGAATCAAATTGATAACGGACGAGGATTCGAATAAAACGACAGCTGCTTCTTCTTCTTCATCGCATGACAGGTGTCTTCACCGAGAAGATATATATACCAGAAGGAGTAAAATTTCTCAAGGTCGTACGAAAATTTGCCGAACGTTATGAGCCGGTCAACAGGAAATTCGTAAGAGTCCGCGGAAGAAGAACTCTTCTCGGGTGTTGCGAAGCGTTAAAAGAATAAGAGAAATAAAAAAAAGAAAAAAAAAAACAAAAAGAAAGAAGAATAAAGAAGAAAAGAAACGCTTTCGTTTCGGAACAAGCGCATCGAAAGGTTGCTTCGTTGGAGATGCTCCCAACTTGCCATGCCATGTCGAATCAACGTGCTGGAAAAAGGACCAGACTTGGCAAAGGATCTCGTTCTTTGATGAAAATTTGAGTAACTTTGAGATAAGATACTGCCGAACGTGAAAGATAATCCGAATGATCGAGAGAAAAATATAATATAAGAAATAAAGAAAATGTTCAATGATAATTATATCTTTACTACAGTCGTATTCGTTAAGGAAAGATAATAATTATTTATCTTTTTAAATTCTATCACTGCAACACTTAATATTTATCACTTGAAACTTGTAAATGTAATACAAAAACACAATGCATCGAGATCATCGTCGTAGTTATATTTACGTAATAGATAAATGATAAATCCTTGATATCTTGGGATCATCATCGTACATATTCCAATGCGTGATGTACGAAACGATTATGGTAGAAGAATGTGGAGACACTCTGTAGTCAGAAATAAATAGCGGCTAATTGAAGGAAAGAAAGCACAGAACGAAACGATCCTCTCGTGCCAAGTCTCGTAGGGAAAGATCGAGCAAAGATCGGTATAACATAAGTCGAGGCGTCGGACCCCGACACACGGCACACGTATTAGAAACGAATATAAATATATCGAGTGTGTTACTGGCGTTGGGGGTTCGGTAGTGGGAGAGAACTGTTGGGTATTGGTGCCGTCGACGAAGTTACACGCACGAAGAAGGCTAGTCCTGTCCTCGCTCGCGCACGAGGCCCCTTTCCTCCTCCCCCTCCTCTCTCACTCCTCTTCTTCCACTTACCTTCCCTCCTTGTGCTGCTGCTGCTGTTGCGTTCTCCTCCGTGAGGAAAGGCCCCGAGAGTGAGCTCAGTGTCCGCTCGGCCTCAGAGCGCCCCGTGCTAACAGAGAAGGAAGGAAGTTTCGAAAGATTGTTGAACGCCGCTTCTAGAAGGTTTTAATGCCTTACACTCACCGGCTCTCACGACGCGAGTTATAACCGCTCCCAACGGTATAGGAACAAATACGAAAATCGCTAGAGATAGATATCCACGAGTGAATGTCTTGCGGGTCAGTGTTCTTCTACGAGGACTTGAGCTAACATTCAACCCGTTTCTCCATCGTTGGATTTCCATTTGGCTAAGAATCCTTTTTCCCTTCCCAAACAAAACACACATTTAACAGATATTCCAATTGACTATTTTTTCTCAAAGAAATATTACTACCATTTTTTCCTGGTAACTCCTTTTTCGATATCATTTCTTATCCTTCGTATACCTCGCTTTCCTCCTCCTCCTCCTCCTCCTCATCCTTCTCCTCTTTCTGCTGTTCATCCAACACGCTGCACCATCCAACTACCCGGCGCTCGGCTTTGTAGTCCGCGAGCAGTGCCGCGTATTAAAACGTTAATCTCCGATGTGTACTACCGGTTATACGTACAGATTGCTTGTTTCTCTCTCTCACTCTTTTTCTCTCCCCCTCTTGTTCGTTTCTCCAGCCCACCGCCTCCCTTTCCCCAGCCCCTATGCCTTCGTCCTCCGGCTCGTTCGTGGCCGGTGCCTTCGCCTTAACGCGTACTCGACTCGTCTCTCTCTCCTTTTCTTTCTCCCCCTTTCAACTGTTCAACTCTTCGTCTTCGACTAGGTAGACCCGTCTTCGTCTTCTCTTCTTTCATCTTCTTCTTCTTCACCCCCTTCAACACGCTAGTATCGTCCATAATTGCGAGTCCTTCATATCTCACAAGTTTCTACTAAAGCACTGATCGCTTCAATGAACTCCAAGGAATTCAAAACCTCCCGTCAAAACCTTCCCGCGATAAGACTAAATTGGCCAGGTGGACGATGAACGTCGAAAGATCACCCGAGGAGGACGTCCTTCGGTTTACGAAGGACGGGAGATGTCTGGAAAAAGAAATTGGATGATGATGACGATAATGATATCGCGTACGTCGATCTAATTAATCTAAAGAACGAGTGAAAATATAAAAGAAATAAAAAGAGATATGAAGAAGGAGAAGCTGTCGAACGCGTTGATCGCGTTGGTGCGACCAGAGGCAAGCACCTCGACTTCGAGTAGCTTAGCCAGAAGGCGAACAGCTACTGTCCTTGGTTCCAGGAGATGGTGGCAGGGTGGTTGTTGGGCAACCAGAAGCCACCAGGAGGCCTACCTTCGACGACTCTACGCGAGAAAGAACGAACAACATACCGCGAAAGGTAATGCCGAGGATAGGAACGTCGAGGTCGAAGGTCGAAGGTCGGAACTTGGAAATACTTGGTCGCAGTCTCCTCAGATCGTTTACGATTTACCAACGAACTGTGAACATTATCTCGACAATTTTTTGAAGAATCGTAAAAACGATATTACCGAAGTCGACGTTGATGTTGTTGACGAACAAGAGGAGGACGTTGTTGGTGTTATAGTCGGTTGTCCGGCCCTGACGGCCTCGCGTGCCAGTCCCACGGAGAAGTGCGTGGAATACTTGAACGGTGCTCATGACGCGACAACCACGGTGAACTTTGAAAACGATCGTCGCGAGCCCAATCGTATCAACGAGTGTGGATCCTTGCATTCTTGTTACGATGTCACGGAGTAAGTTTTACGTCAATCAAGAGAAAGTTTTCATTGGAAATATCGGTGACATCATATTTACATATATTTTAATGATTCAGTGCTGTTTATTACAAAATTTAATCTATATTCGTTCTAAGGACAATATCTGAATTCTTCTATTTTGACAGCATATAGACTGATTATTGGAATAGATTGTTTCGTATTCTAATAGCAGAGAAATGAGTTTTCAATATCGTGTAAAATAAGTATTGAGTTCGTCGATGAATAACATTAGAATTATCATTATTTTATAACTAAATAAATAACACCAGTATCTTTCCTGTAAATACCGATTTTAGATCATAATAGCATCGTTTTGAGTTATTTATTGCATACAAAATACTAGTATTATTTGTTTCGATTTAAAATATTCAAATTTCAGACATTACTCGTCACCTGACTGAATGTAAATTAATTCTCTTTCTCATAAGAAATTGAAATATATATACACACATATACTGCATTAAATTGATACATAAATAATTGTCGTTTCATTGTAATAAACTTTTTATTTATATAACACGAATTAAATGAAAATTAACGTATCCAAAACACTTCTTATTATTTCTCAAAAGACAATTTCATAGAATGACAGATTATTAAGATAAAATCTTCGAATTCTAATCGATGGCATTATTCTCGCTTTTCAGAAAGGTTTGCAGGAGCTGCAGGTGTCCGAGAGAAGAACATCAACGAGTATCGACGGAAACAGGCGGCCCATCTGGATTGGGTCTTGGCCCGGGCCCTCCGATGGCGATGGCAATGGCGTTTCAAAGTGGTGCCGGGGCAGGTTCCCATCAGGAACCGTTCAAGAGCCCGGTGCAAGCGGCACCAGCTGGTCTTGCACTCCAGGAAGCTCTGATGCATCATCAGAGGCACTCGCAGAGCGACGATGATAGCGGATGCGCACTCGAGGAGTACACGTGGGTACCGCCTGGCCTAAGGCCTGATCAGGTAAGGAAGAATGGCTAGCTTCTCTTCTCAGATTCTTATCTGAAGCTTATATATACATTCACCAAGCGAATACTTTTTATCTTTTTCTTATTCTTCTTCTTATATCCATCTCGAGTTATTAACATCGTGTTTAAGGTTTCCCCGAACGCGCCCTTGAAACTTACACCTCGTTTTGATGGATAACTGCAATTAACGACAGCTCACAAATATTTTGTTTTCTTCTTCTTCTTCTTCTTCTTCTTTTGTTATTATTTATCATCGGCTCGATAAAACTCGATAAATACTTTTCATCGCGATCACGAGTACCTATGTTGTTTACATTTACATTAACATTTTTTAAATGTAAGGGAAAAGCCGATAGATAAGCATTTGCTTACGCCTCCTCACTTAAGTCTTTCCACATTCTAATTATTTGTATATCTAATTACAATTTTAACAGGACTAGACTGAAACTCGCTCATTTCACGATCGGTTATACCGCTGCGTGCATACCCATTAAACCGTGAGAGCGCAATTTAATCCATGAGAACACCACCGCGATAGTATACTGTATACTTATACAGGATGTTGCAGGAGTAACGCGCGAAGAAAATGCGCCGTGGAAAATTGCTGCTCGAGCGCGACTACTTATTAGATTAGACTGCTTTTTAACGCGAGATCGATTTCGTTCCGTTACCATCGATTCTCATTTATTCAAATATGCATGGCAAAGGTACGTGTTATCGTACATCTTCCAACATATCAAAAATAATAGACATTTTCTTAAGAAAATTACTTTTCCATAGCAATGATTATATAATAATGTAATATCTTATAATACTCTATTTAAATGAAGTCTATTAAATAATAAAGTATAGTATAGTGCAAATATTTATTTACTTTATTAACCAATGCATTTTCCTAGTATGTATGCGCTCTTCGTATATGAATGTTCATTCCTTTAATTTGATTTTTTTTTCGCTCATTTATCATTAATATATCTTTTCACTCAGACTCATAAATAATTACCAAAAAGATTGCATCTTTTTACCACCTCTCTGTAAGTGGTTGGTAATGTTGGTTTTTGTAATATCTCTCTTTCTCTCTCTGTTGTTTTATAATTTATATTAAATGTTTAATTAAATGTAATATGTGTAAATAAACGTAAAATTAGAGTACTTCTCTCTAAAATGTAAGCTTTCAACATAATAAAACAATATCGTTTTCGTTACATTTTTCAATTTTTGTCCCTAAGATAAAAATAACAGATCTTTTCTGATCGTTTTGTTTTTATTCAAAAGTATTGTTACGTTAAGCGGTTAATCAAATTTGGTAGTTCGCATTTTGAGATCGTTGTTATAGTGTATCGATAATAAAAAAAAAAGTCTATTCGTGAACGTTCCAGGTGCACCTGTACTTCAGTAGTCTACCAGAAGAGAAAATACCGTACGCGGGTAGTGCCGGTGAACGGGAAAGGGTGAAACAACTGCTTCAACAGCTACCGCCGCATGATAACGAAGCTAGATATTGTAGCGGGCTTTCGGAAGAAGAGAAACGTGAATTGAGAGTATTTGCGGCACAACGGAAACGGGAAGCTCTTGGTAGAGGACATGCAAGTCAATTGGAGAGGCCACACACCAGCGGATGTCGAGAATGTTCGAGGCCGATCGCGACCGGTGAAATGGCAGTTGCAGCAAGCCGTGCCGGTCCTTCTGCCCTTTGGCATCCAGCCTGCTTCGTTTGTTGCGTTTGCCGGCAACTTCTCGTCGATCTCATTTATTTCTGGCGAGATGGAAGGATCTATTGTGGTCGACATCACGCAGAAACTTTAAAGCCACGATGTTGTGCCTGCGATGAGATCATTCTAGCTGACGAATGCACCGAGGCCGAAGGCAGAGCCTGGCATATGAGACATTTCGCATGTCTCGAATGTGATCGGCAGGTAAAATTTAGATTTAGATTCGTTTCATATCATTTTAATTCAAATCAAATATTTAAATATTTGTTTTTTTTTCGATTTAAATATCTTCAAGTATTTAATGCATTCGATCGACACAATGCCACGGAAAAAAAGTAATTGTAATTATTTTTTAATACTGTCTTTCGTATTTTTAAAAGATCCTCGAAATATCATTTCAAATAAATAATTCAAGCAGATATCTTTTAGATAATTTAATACATTATCGGCCTATATATATATATATCACGAATATACTCGTAATTGCACATTCAATCGATTCACGTAATATTATTAAAGTATAATTATTATATTAGTTTTTATTATAATATAATTTATTGTGTGTTTGCTAGTGTTTTTAATGAAAACTGTAGCTACTGTAGCTAACATTTTCAGATTTTTACTTATCGTTAAAAATAAGAAAAACATTTCTTTATTTTTAATAGCATTGATTTTCTTCTTGTTTTCTTGTCTTATAAAAATAACTTTAGAAAGATTATAACCATTTAAAATACAATTCAACTAATGATATATTTACAGCTTGGTGGTCAGAGGTACGTTATGAGAGAAGGACGACCATATTGTCTTCGTTGCTTCGATGCCTCCTTCGCCGAGTATTGTGATAGTTGCGGCGAACCGATCGGCGTCGACCAAGGTCAAATGTCGCATGAAGGTCAACATTGGCACGCGACAGAGGCATGTTTTTGCTGTGCAACTTGTCGTACCTCGCTTTTGGGCCGTCCCTTTCTTCCTAGACGTGGTGCTATTTATTGCAGTATAGCCTGCAGTAAAGGAGAACCACCAACAACTCCAAGTGACTCTTCAGCTGGTCCCCCACCTCCACCTTCTTTCCTTAGGTAACTATTATTTGAGAATTAATAGAAACTTGCGCGATTCTTTCTGCCAGGTTAATATTAAAAACTGTTGAGGAATTATCATAAACGATCAGTCATTAAATCTAAAAAAGAAAATCTGTCCTCTTTTAAATAGGAATTGTTTTTTTTTTGTAGAGGTAGAAGACAAGCAGCAACAACCAGCGAAGGTTCCTCGAGTCCACCGCCACCTCCACCTCCTCCACCACCAGGATCTAGACACGTTTCAGGATCGCTACGAAACTCGCCAAGATTGACCAGGAAACATCAGCAGGTCTCTTCCTCGATAGCGACAACCCCAACACAGAGTACCTTGAGTCCTGAATTCCCTACGGAGGGATTTCCCACTAGTGGATCTAGGGGTGGAGGTCTTGATAGGGTACTTCTTGAAAGGAATCTCGAGAGATTGTTACAAGAACGTGGCTCTCATCCTGAAGAAAATCGTAGCGATTTGGGAAGGTATGATTACGATATTAGAAGAATTAGAAGAATTATTTATTGTTCGGATAAAAGAGAGCCTAAACACACGAATTTGATTTGTAGTAATTATTTTAACACTTCTTCAGTCCTTATACTCATCCATCTTTTTTCTTTATTTCTTATTTCTTCTTTATTCTATGGTATCCATCTATCTACTTTCTCCGCTAATATCGTCCCTTCTTCTCTTAATATATTTAATAATTTTGGATAAAAACCCTTACCCTATTATTAACCTACAATTAACTTTCCCTAATGCTCTAAACTGTGTGTCAGAATGAAGTTTGTCGGTATTTACGATGCGCGCGCATAACGATATGAAATTAACAGTATGAATATAGAACATACATGAATAAAATTAAATAAATAAATTAAAAAGATTTATTTTAACAGGCTAATGCAAGCAAGGGACCGAGAGCCACTCCGATGCGTTCAAAACTGTACACCTTCCCATGCTTCAAGTATGCCCGAACTTCCTGCACCTTCATTGCGAGCTTCATCTTCTACGTCGGTGCCAGCTACGAGTGGTATCGCAGCTGGTGCATCAACAATTACGCTTGCTCAAGAATCACCAATATCACCAACGAATCTCGCTGCGAGTCAAACAGATCCACCGACGCCTACGTCGCGACGCGTACGATTCCAAGGTGATTTAGATGTTCACGATCATGGGGCACCATCGTCGAGTAATATACCTCTTTCACCAGCAAACGATACCAATTCATCATCCTCGCCATCTCCACCACCACCGACAAGCAATCCTTTGTCCAGGTCGAGCGTTCCTCGATCGAGAAGTTTGCAGCCGGAGGAGGTCGCCAGTACGTCGACTTGGGGTGCGTCGAATTCCTATCGTTCTTCATGTATAAATGGAAATTTTACACGAGTTTACTGTAAATCAACGTAATTCCTGGTCGTATACTCGTTCTCTATAAAAGACATTCCAAGAAGTTTGCGAATTCCTCCATTGTCTAAAATTACGAGTACCGGTATCTATACAAAAATTCTTCTAATTCTTGACAATTATAAGATTAATACTATATTCACTTAAGAGATTAAATCGAAATTCTTTAACAAATTGATGAATCCTCTATAATCCCGAATGACTTTGAAGTCATATATCAGATATCGAGAATTTTTTGTTCCCAAATAGAGGGTTCATCTTGTTATATAATTTCTCTTTTTAACTATTATTAATTTTAATTTGAAATGTAGAAGAAAATTTGTAATCTTTGAAAATTTACAATTTATTGTTAAACTTGTATTTAGAGATTGATATTTCTTGATTTCATATTACATACATTTTTGTATAATCGCGAAGAAAATTTGAACTATTGAGAATTAAACTTACTCTCCTAAAGTGTATTATAAAATTATCTATGCGAATATTTATTTATTGTAATTGCAATGATTTAATAGAAATTGTTAATTAAAATAACGAAGTATCGATATCAATTATATTCTATTCTTAGCATAATAAAAATGACATAATATGTATTCGTATCATTAATAGGTGCAGCAGGATCATCGAGGTCAAGACTGGAGGATACAGAGGATGCTGAAAGTTGCTGTTCGACTTGTAGTTCTTCAAGTAGTTCCGATGAAGCTGCAGCTTATGCTCTACCTCCTAGAAGAGCTTATGGTGGTGTCCGTATTTCTTACGTCCCGAACGATGCGGTTGCGTGCGCGCGAAAACGGACTCAACCGTCTTCTTCCTCGTCGAATCAAGCACAAAAGGACACCGAAAAATGCGTCGTGTCTTGATGATCGTGCTTCAAAAAAAATATCCGCATTTATTCGGCGGTTTTGTGTTACGCTTATAACGTTTGTACGATCGATGGATCTCTCCCTCTCTTAGTGTGCGTGACGAGAAAAACGAGCTAAGACTTTAGAAGAAAAACATAAGAAAAATAAAACAGTTCCTAAGCGTTACAATAGTGTACGCTTTTCAGTATCTTCCAGAGCATAGGCATTTTCGTATCTCGCTCTCGTTAACATTTGTACAACTTGAAAATGCAATCTTTTTTAAGGCAAGTCGTCTCTTTGTGCATGTGTATGTATTATTGCATACTCAAATAGAAACATTAATAGAGATTTATTAGAATTTTTCACAACTATTGTACAATTGAATTTCTCTCAGTATATATATATATATTCTCAGTAATTTATTCTAATTCGAAGCAATGGCCTAATCGAATTCACCCTAAAGACAATTTACTCATAGTTATTCCTAAACAAATTCTAGATACTTGGAAACGGTCTACTTCCTCTGAGAGAATCCTCAGATCATTTCCAGACTCGCGCTCGCAACGATATATACACAATGCAACAAAAAATGGAGACATTTTGGAATAATCCGACTGATGATTTTCTTCCAAATAAGCTGTGCCAGAAAATCTCAGTGACGTATTTGCCTCGCGGCCATAAACCCTCGTCTATTTTTATTATCCTCGTTGATGTACCACTTGATGATGATAATAATAACAATAATGATAATGATGTTACTTTTTTAAAGAAGATCGATGCTTCGATTAAAGATTTTTATTTGAATAAACCCCCCCCCTCCCCATCTTTTACAGTTCATTCTTCAAGAATTTCTGATGACTTGAATTATAAACGTAAGTATCATTAATATTTTTCTGGAAAAAAAAATTGGACGTATATAATGAATATAAAAATATATTTTATAAGGGAACGAGCAGAGAAAAGAAACAAGGGAAAGTAGATTATCCTGTTAAGGACAAGCATCGTTACACAACCATTCTCATCGTGGAAGGGTCACATGCTTTTCCCCCTCTAAGACCATTGCATTCCCACTCGCTAACAAAGATCTCATTAATGAATTCTGGCGACATAATTATGACAGTTTTTAGACACGATCATGGCTTTTTTTTTGTAGTTTATTTAATGAATAAATAAATTCAATAAAATTTCTTTTCGCGATAAAAGTAATCTAATATTATACAATATATCTTTTAAATAAATTAAAATAATGAAATAAAATATATAATAGTAATATATGCAAAGTATTTTTGAAAATATATTTAAATTACAGTATGTGTAATATAAGTGATTAGAATTACATCGATTCATACAAAAAACTGCTACATTATTATTTATACTGAACAAAAAATATTTATTCAAAAGTCGTTTTAATGAGAAACAAAAACTAACAAAGTCAATACCATTTAATTTAATAATTATAATTATAATATTTCATATTTTTCATTTTAAAATATGAGTCTCACGATACAGTCTTGCTAAAATATTATGGGCCCACGATGTCACGACTCCAAATATTCGCTTTTTTTTCCGTTCGGTAAAGTACAATTACTCCAACGAAATAAGTCAAAAAATAGACAAAAATTAATTTTATACATGATTCACTTTATAATATAAATAAATGTAATATAAAATAAATCATAAAATATTCATTTGTTCTATTTCTTGACATATTACACTGTCACAATTGTTTGCACGTATAATACTAAAAAGAAAAAAAATCAACAAAAATAAGTGGAAGTTTTTTTTAATAGAAAAAAAAATTGCAAAATAAAGTTGAATTAAACGGAATGACAGATTATCGATCGATCGATCAGTCAATCGATCGATCGATGATAGATCGAGCACATCCCATAAAACATGGATTAACGGAGCACAAGGTATTCCGTTGAATGCGCAACTTTTCGCCGCTCTGGTGCGCTCGTTTGCAGAGAGGCTTTCTCCATGGCTTGGAATGTGGCCTCTCCCTCTGGTTCGCTTCGAAAACAACCGTCTACGTGTCCATATAGCTTGTACATATTATTCTGCAGCTTCGTCCTTCCCATTCGCTTCTACTCGAGCGCGTGTTTAACTCTACGTTACGATCTCTTCACCCCACCTTTGTGACTAGTTTTCTGGTATGCTAAAAGACGCGTACCTTTGAGACCATTCATCGGTACTTTTACGACATAGAATAATTTTTTTTTTCCACCTTCGAAGCAAATTCTTTCTTGTTTTTCTCTTGTGTAACTTGGTAATGCAAGAAAGTACAGGCTTTAATATCTTAATTAGAACGATCGTCTTTCAGTATCAATTTCTTTTTAAATGCTATTGGGAATCCGATTTCGGAAAAACAAATAATTAGTTTAGGATAGTTTTAGCCAAACGTGGATAGTCTTTTTTTTTCATATATATTTATAATAATATAATAAATATAATAGAATATATTTTCATACACTCGATGCGAAAAAAATTTCATTGTTAAATGTTATTTCAGAAAAAGAAGCGGCCAATTAATGAATTAGTAATCACAATAAAATATCGTAAGATTATATGATAATGCACATATTTTTTAATATTATATTCGACCAATCAAATCAGTCGGTAAAGTAAATTCCGTTTGACAACTCATTAAATTATAATATCATAATAAATGCAGCAGATCTTACGAATCAGGGGGGAAGCGACTTATGAATATTAATTATAATTTGTTATATGTAGAAAAATCAACCTGATTTCTGTCATGAGTAATAGGTTGAATACGCGAGCCGACATTCTTGAATGGAAAATCGGAGTATAAACGTTCAGAACGAGATTTTTCGAACGAGTTACCAGCGAGCTCAGCAACATACTTGATTTGAAAGTCGTACCTCGTAATCTCTAAGAACGTAAAAATTGTTACGAATAGCTCGATTGAGTATATATGTATCCTTGTAATAAAAAACGGAAAACTATTTCATGAGAAAATTACAGATTTTAATACAAAAGCATATTTATGATAATTACTATACAACGTATTTTATATCAAAAAATATATACATATATGTTCAATTTTTCTTTCATATTTATCTCATTATATAAATATATAAATAACTATGATATACCACAAATTAAAACGAGTACGATGGTCCGTACTGTTGTATTAATATCATCCGATAGAATGATTTAATATTATTACTATTAATTAAAATTTCTTATTTTATATTAGTTTATTGATAATTATTCTAATATATTTATTTTATTTTTATATATATATTTTTTCCTTGTAATGCTATAAACAAACAATAAGCCATTAAAAATAATTAAAATTTCTTGAGATACATAAACAATAATGTTGTCCTAAAAGAGGATTAATATGATTGTAATATTACTCTTATGAAATGTTAAAAATAAAGAAAAATATATAGGAGAATTAACAAAGAAATGAATTAATACTTTAGATGACTAAAGTGTTATTAATAATAGAATCAGTGATATAATCGATAAATTTACTTTGAACGTATCTATGTAAGTATGCATATTTATCAGTCATATTAGTATATTTCATAAGCATAAATGCCATACAATTTTAATATACAATATTTTACGTATATAAAAATTCACTATCTAATGATAATATTTTTTCGAAAGAAAAAGAATAAAGCAAGGATCTAAAGAGTGCCACTCCTATTATCGATAGTTTGTGTACTACAGAAACGAGATGCATCTTCGATAACAACGTGACACCTTCTCATCGGATAGTCGAACATCCTTTTTATTTTGTACGCAGTGCAATTTCCTTAGGAATGGAGTAACATCTTTACGAGCGATAGCGTTCGCATACTGCGCGCGGTTCAAGGATATTGAGTACATATTCACAATTAAGTATTGCGAAAACTCCGCCCAAGTAACGCGTTGGTGGTTAGTTTAAAACCGGGAGACACGTCAGTTATCGATTAATAAATCATATTCCATGAGAACATCGATTATCATTATTATCGTTTACACTTATAAATCCATTTCAATTTAATTTCAACTTTAATAAATAGCATCTGTTAAGGAAATGAAGATTAAATTAAAGTATCTTTTATTCGAACATTTAACTTATCATCATTATTTTAAACACAATTTTTATGGTAATTTTATCTGAATTATTAGATAGTTATTATTATAGATCATTAATTATTTTATTATTATCACATTTTTATATTCATAAACCATAATTGTTAGATTAATAATTAGTATTTTATATATAAATAAATAAAATTTATACCTTTATCTAAAGAAAAATAAATTTTGTATATTTTATAAAATTAATATTATCTCTCTTATCGAAAAAATGTTTAATATTTTTTATATTGAAAATTTCGACAATACTTATTGATCGATCCAATTATATTGGTATTATAATTAAAAAGAAAAAAAGATGTAAGAAGAGATTAGATATAATTCAATTGCCTCTGTTTTATTGTTTATCAAAAATCTCAGAATACAATTATAGATATATCGAAAGTCACGCTTCAAGGATGTCCCATCCGGGAAACGACCTTCAATTTACATATTCCCATGTCAAGAACCATAAATACACCTGCTAAAGGTCGACTTCGGAGTCATTCATTCAGTTTCTCTCTCGTTTCTTCTCTCGTTCCCTTCTAAATACTCTCCTAAACTGGAGAAAAAAGAAAAAAAGGAAAAGAAAATAGAGAGAATAAAATAATGAAAGAAGGCATCCTTCCAACCGTTAATATTTCATTTCACTTTTACATGAGAAAACAACCTTTCTCTTCGTAACCATCCTATCGTTCCCACGATCATCACGCAACGAACGATTTAAACGGAACCGAGTTTTGTCGGAGCACGAATGGGACCACGATGCTTCCAGTGGATTACGAAGAAAACAATGAGGAAGATCGATAGGGTACAATTCATTGTTCCAAAAGTAACAAATTTTCTTATGGGAGACATTTTCACGAGATTTGACACATCATTCAAGTAACAATAACCAAGTATATATATATCTATATACATTTTCGTCATATTCACGAAGAATAAGAGAAAAAAAGGAAATAAAGGATGTTGACATTAGTATTATACACGTTGCAAATATACTTAAATTTTTAAAAACGAACAAGGAAAACAGAATTACCTAGGTAGCTTCGAGAGTAGTGTGTTTGTAAAGAGAATAACTAGTGACTAACGCGAGAGAGTCTCTTTCGTTAGCAAAGTGGTGGGATAACCTTAGCTTCTACGACAGGTAAGTAAGCATAGCACACAGTACAGCGAACGTCTTAACAACATCTGGAAAAGAGGGGGGTAGGGAGAGAAATGGGGGAAGTGGGTAGAACAGAGAAAGAACGAGAAAGAAATAACGTGTGAGAGAGAGAGAGAAAGAGGAATAATAAATGAAGAGAAAGGGAAAGAAGAGGAAGAAGAAGAAGAAGAAGGTGAAGTTATGGAAGAAGGGAAATGAGAGGTGGGAAGGGGTGGCAGGGAGGGGGGTTCTCATTCTTCGAGGGCGCATTCGCTGTGTTCCACGCGAAAACAGTCAGTTCGAGACGAGATCCCGTCGTGTTACATTCTCTCTCTCTCTTTCTCTCTCTTTCTATATGTTTTTCTCTCTCTCTCTCTTTGTCTTTCTCGTTCACCTTCTTACTCATACACACACACACACACATACGGGTACGTCGTGACGTTGAGCAATCCGCGTGGAGAATCCGAGATCGACCTCCTTCTTCTCGATCTTTCTTAA